CTGGCTTCAAGCCTTATGAGATAGTTTGCACACAGACTTCTAGTACAGACTCATTAGACCAAATACTGGGCACAACTGGCCAAATAACTCAGGCACTGAAAGACTCTAGCCAAGTAGAATGTTTACAGACCAACAAACAGATGTAAAGCACAGCTGCAGAGACTCTTCACATCTGCTGCTCCGCCCTCTGTCTTTCTCTGCTTATGCTCATATTTATATAAATAGGGTTTCTTGGACATTCCGAACGGATTCAATGGCAGTGAGCTTAGTTTTGCAGTTTGGTTATGAGTAAAGTTAATCTTCAGCCTGGTACCCAAAGCTCTCCATAATCTAGTCTTCATTTTGCTTTATAGCCAATTCTATTCCTATTTCCATGGTTGTATAAAATATACCCTTAAATCCAAATGTGTCCCTTCCCCAATATGAGTCTTCCCATGCTTTGGTCATACATTTTCTCATTTGGAATTACATTTCATGACATCTAGATCCATCCATACCTTACCAATCTCTCAAAGCCTGGAACCGATGCTTCTCTGTAATAGTTTCCTCTACACTACAGCTGGAAATAATTTTATGCTGGCCAAGATGATCATTAGCTGCTTGAGGGGTGAGATGATATAAATTCACATAAATGCCTCACTGTATTTAGTACTTAAGAGAGTGAATATGATAGTGCTTAAAAAGCATGTCAAATGACAAACAGAAAAGGCTTAATTGTACAGTAAAACAATTTTTTAACGCTGAATGGTACCTTGATTGTTGATTATGATGAACCAACACATTTTGAAGGCAGTAAGGTCTACCACAGCCTGCATGAGTCTGTCTCTTGGTAGCTCTGTGACTACAAGCTGAATTTTAGTTAAGCAATGACTAATTGTTGCTGAGTTAATGCTAAGTGTGTCAGCTGATGGATGCTTTGAGAGGAGATCACCAGCTTTTCTTCTAAATGTTCTCAATGCACTCAAACCTCCAATCTTTCAATTAACAAGATACCTGTGTGCACCATGTAAAAATTCTCCTCAAGGTGGTTAACAGGGTGTAATTCAAGAAGCAAAGACTCTTACTATACATGCTTACTAATAAACAATAGTAATCGTCCTGGTTTGGACTATGGTTTTCTGGCACCCATTTAAATGGGAAGTTGCAATCTTTTCTTAGCACACATTCTTTTTCATCATTCTGGCCTCTTTGCTATTCTTTGTAGCTCACACATTTTCCTTTGTCACCTCCCCTGGTATACGGTCCAAATTGGATCTCCTGTGGCTCTGGGAGGCACTCTGCCCATCGCTCCAGGCTGGATGAGTAATCATTTATTGCTTTCTGCCAGTTGCCACAGCAATCTAATATCCAATTAAGTATTTCACTGGCAAAACCATACAAGCACTCTTTGTAGCTTGCTTGAAGTCCAAGTAAATTATGTCCATTGCTTTACCCAGTTGGTTCATTGTCACTGACTCAAAGAAATTAATCATGCTGGTTAAGCCCGACTGCCTCTGTGTAAATCTATCTCTATCCAATTTGTATGTTTCCAAGTGCTCTAGCTTAATCCCTGATCAAGGTTCACAGGTTCTTTTCCATTTACCAGATGACTTTATAGGTATGGGGTTATCAGTTTAATTCCTAAATGTAAAAATATATACTGATAGAGAAATAGCATGCTGGGCCTCTGTCACCATTTACTGCATGTTTTATTCAGAGACAAAACAAACCCTCAAACCAACCAAAACCAACCCAAAACGAAACACACATACACAACACAAAAACCTCACATACTAAAAACCCTTACCAGACCTTTATCTGTCATTCCTTTTGAAAGATTTTATTTCTACTTTTCTCTCTGTAATTTCCTAATTATTTGTTCTGAATCTCACTAACACAGAGCCTACAATATTTATTCTATTCTTTCTACTGTCATCAATTATACATTTCTTGCCTCTAGGATATAGTGCTGTTTCTTGCTTGTTTTCTCCACTCTCTCCAGCAAACACAAAAGAATCCTTTTGTTCCTCAGAGAATTCTCTCAGCTGACACCCAGACCTGTCAACATACTTCAAGGTTCATCCTTCCTTATTATGAGGCTGCTTAAGTCTTTATGTCACGTGAATTCTGCTTTCCACTGATGGCCAGGCTGCCTCAGACACATTCTTTTACTTGAGATTTATGGGACAGGGTCATGGTTTATAAAGAGAATTTCATGCTTGTTCTCATGCTAATCTGGAGATGAATCCCATCTCATATTGTCATAATATCACCTACAGAAAACTATTTCTGTGGCATCCTATCAGAAGTTCTAACACCAGAACCCCAGAGTTCTGCACTTTGCCAGGGGAAGGAGCTGGATGGTCCTGAAATGCTTTCTGAATTTTTCCTTCATTTGGAGTCTTTTGTTTTTGAAATATTTAAGCAGGTAAACCTGGTAGCTTTCAATTAAGAAAAAAGAAATTCATCTCCCAGGGCATAATGAAATGTTTTCCTACAATATTTGCTTTCACACATTTTCTCTGTTGTTTTTATAGTCAGGCAGACCAAGGAATCAAAGTTAAACAAACACTATTTAACTATCATTGCATGAAGGCAAAAGGGCTTATGAAAAATTGGTTGGGCAGGCTGGTTATTATATTTACTATTCCACTGAGCATAAGGACTGTAAAAATATAAACACAGGCAGAAGTTTTCTCAAAAGACCCCTTTCCCACTTGTAAAAACTGAAATTGTTATATAAAAAACCTGTCAGAGAGTTCCAGTGTGCCCATGCCCATCTGTGCTATCGTTAAATTCTCCACGATCCCCATCTGAGGGGCATCCCTGACTCCCTGAAATGCCATCACCTGTCTGCCTTAGTGATTTCTCTTCTCAGATGCTCTGAACAGCAGGAGTCTACTGTTAGAAATGAGCTCCTCGAGGAGGAATGGGCTGGAACGTAGAAGTCACAGAGATAGAAGACATCTGGTAACTGAAAAGGAATGTATAATGGAGAGGCAGCAGTGCCTGGGCCCTGCCTGGGGAGCATCTGGGCAAAGTGAACCATCACTCAAAACAGCACACAAATACCACAGATGACAGGGAAGGAGGAGAGCTAGCCTCCGGGTATGAGGGAAAAACTGCAGATCAATGCCTGGGAGAGAAAGCCTGTGTGACCAAAAGAAAGTAAACAAGTAACTGGACTAACTCCAGGGACAGAAGGCACTATCCCTGGAAAGCAGAGTGACAATGCTGGAAAAGGACGGCTTGCTGCATAAAAGATGAAGTGAATTCAGGACAAAATTTCAAAGCTTTATTAAGAATGTGACAGCTGAGAGAAAAGATACAATAATTTTTTTTTTTTTTTGGTAGAAAGGCAATACTTTTTTGGGCAATGTCTCACTTCAAAACTGGTTTTATAAGAAAAAACAAAGCGAAACAAGTTTTATGAAAATTAGAGCTACAGAGTATTATTTTTCACCTTACAATAAAGAAATATAATCTCAAACTCACTGCTGTCCCTTCAGCAAGTTTCTGTGGTTGTAAGTCACACCAGAAGAGACTGACCATCTTTTTTCCTGTGGAGTGGCTGGTGGTTTCGAACCACTGGAGAGGCGCTGCCTTTGGGGTTAGTAGCACAACTCCCTAAAGAGTAGGCCCTATAAAAATATCCAGTAAACGGAAAACTAACCACTGTCAAAGAGTCAATTATGATTTACAGCAACCCTCCTCATAGGGCACAAACTACCTCTTAAGATTTCCAAAGCAGTAACCTTTATAGAAGTAGAAGCTGTAATCTTTATAGAAGCAGATTGCCACATCTTTCTCCTCTACAGTAGAGGGTGGGTTAGAATGTCTAACCTTTCAGTTAGCATCCGAGTGGGTGCTTTAATCACTGTGCCACCAGAGTTTATGATAAACTGTACTAAACTGAATGCACCTAAAATATTTTTTTTTTTTTTAGGTTTTAGCTAAATAAGTAGCCAAAATAAGTGATAAAATTAAGGTCTCAGATTTGTGGGCTACAAAATTTCATATAAGTAATACAGAGGCAAGATGAATCAAAATAAATTTAAAGTATGACATCTAATAGTAAAATTTCAAATGAGCAACGTAGACAATGCTACCCAAAACGTAATACTGTTGCAAATTATAAATTTGTTTTATTTCAGCCATTCTGGAAGACAGGGAATTAAGCTTATAATCACATTAAAAACAGGTGGCACTTAAAACATATGCATATATATTTATGCATTAGGTGAAAACAGTCTACTATGTTCATTGCACTTCCTGATGTTTTTCTAGGCAACATTTTCAGTTTCTGTAGTGCTAGTCATGTTAAATATATTTTCTTTCCTAACATACTCTTGGAACATGAGTGGCTATATCAAAGAGAACTGCTCCTATTTGAAATCATTATTTGAAATCATTATTCAAAGCCAGAGCAACTGAACGGGGCTCTCTGTTCTGGGTGTAACCAGAAGAAGTCACTGGGTTAGGAGGCGAGAGCCAGATCTCTCAGAGCTTAGCCACACTCTTCTGGCTCAGGAATAATAAAAAGAGAACTCATCTGGCAAATATCTCCAGGTACTACACAATTGAAGAGCACTGATGGAAACCTTTAATTAAAAAAGGCAAAGGATAAGACATGAGAGCTATTGTTGGCAATACAGCAGAAGGAAAAAGCAAGAAGACAAAAGTCTATGTGAAAGCATTTCCAGGTACTCAACAGTCTCACCTGACAGCATTCTGGAGAGGCGGGTTGGAAAAGTGAAGGGAAAGGATGTGGGGGTGTAACCTGACCAACAAACACAGACGGGTGAAGAGAAGACAATACAGTATGTGTAGAGTGTGGTAAAAGGAACCAATTATTGGAGTCTTATGACAAATTCAGTTAAAAACAAACAAAAAACCAAACATCACACATGCCAAAACCCTCCCTCAAATTAAAAACCAAAGGAATGGGAAAAAAAAGTCTTAAATACACAATTCAACATTTTTCACTTCTTCATTTTCCTCTAGGACAACACTAGACTTACCTCTCACAAACAACAGGCCGTGATTCATTGAGGACAGGACCCAGGGAAGAACACGGCTGACGAGGAGGGGGTGCAATGGGCACTGCGGAGTCCAGGGAGCTTGTCTTCCGATGTAGGGCGTCCTGGGCCAGCGGGGCTGGGCTGTCCCCGTCACAGGAGCCCATTCGGTGGCCAGCCCCTAGTGGTAACTCAGGGCCCATTGCTCCCTGCAGGGGCAAGTCGCCTGAGGCACCCAGCTCCACTTCCAGGGTGGGTGACGCTGGAGGGGACACGCGGGGCTTGCGTTTGGTGGAGGCGCCAGAAAGCAGCTTCAACAGACCCTTTTTCTCTTTCTGGAAAACAACAATAATAAAAATATTTACATACGTTTGGTGGAGGCGCCAGAAAGCAGCTTCAACAGACCCTTTTTCTCTTTCTGGAAAACAACAATAATAAAAATATTTATATACATCCATACTAGGGCGATGGCATGAAAATCCTTGGGGAGTTGTGTTGCTAACCCAAAGCCTCTTGGGTGGTTTGAATACATCTGCTCTGGGGAAGAAAGGTGGGCAATTTCCTCCTAAGTGACTGATTTACAGCCTCTCAAAAACCTTCTGGAGGGTCAGCTAGGAGTCCTGTTCTGAATCCAGGGCAATGAGTTTGATTGGGTTTTGTGTAGTGGTGGTGTTTTTAAATCATACATGCAAAGTGCTTTTGTCTATAATCTATGGCCTAACCAAAAGGTCTTGTATGTGAATCCACCAAATGACCATGCAGAAGAAAGATGGGCAAACTCTTCCTGTTAAGATTTATAGTCTCAAACCATGTGTTGAGCTGCTATACTACGTTGGACCAGCCTTGCTATGGGAGACAAAAGGAGGTGGTCTCCTCCAATTAAAATTTACAGACCAGGAAACTGGATGAAAGTTGGCCAGGAGTTAAGAATCTACAGCTGTAGCTTTGAGTTTTTGTTTATATCTGTATGAGATAAGCATTGCTGACAATTTTATAATCTACAGGGGCCTATCGTTTCTATTTTTATTGAATCTTTTAAAATTCTTTCACTCAATATTTGGTTTATGTTCTAGCTATCAATATTTTGGAGTACTAACAGTATCTTTTGTCTCTCCACTGTGGCCATATATGTTTTTGTTTATCTGGGACCTTCCATTCCTATTACTACCTTCTACTGAGGTTGTTGTTATGTGCCGTCGAGTCACTTGCGACTCATAGCGACCCTATGTACAACAGCCCTAAACTCTGCTCTGTCCTGTGCCAATCGCACT